CTGCTCACAGTCTTTACTTTCCCATATCCCCTACAGGAGGATACGTGAGCTTCACAGTGCTGTCTGATGCGGACATTGATAACCAGACTGCCAGGAAGTCTCAAAATGCAGAGAAAGAAACTTGCAGTGGCAGGTAAGAGGCAGCGTTCAAGTCTTTTACTTACACCAAAACGTAAGTAAAAGACTTACTTTTTACTTACACCCTGTTTCGCAGGGGCGGTCAGACGCCCCTGGCACCCCGTCTTTTTGAACGGGCTGTATTGAAACAAAAAGTTGTTGTGCTTCTGAACAATAACAATAAAAGCATTCTGATTATGATAGAGCAAAAATGATTCAATTATTTGGTGAGTGCAATAAAAAGTAGAACAAAGTAACAGATCAAGATCAGTTAAGCTCACTGAGAACATCTTGAAGAGGAAATGTATTTGTTCGAAGTAAATGCTCATTACGTAATACCTGAAGCTGCCGCGCCTTTGCAGAGTAGCCTGCTGTTTTCTGTTTCTCTGGCTGCTGAGCAGCGAGCATGTCTCTGCATGCAGGGCACACATATTCAGAGCAACTGCGGTTTATTTTATTTTATTTATTTATTTTTTATTTTTTTGCAACTGCAGCGGCTGGAAATCTATTTTGAGTAGCTCAAACATGGACTGGATGTGCGCTTTTATTATGACTTTAAAACTTTTTGTGCAACAATCAGAAATGTACTGAATTTGTCTATGTTGAAAGCAAAATATAGCAAATTCACGTAAAGTCAGAAAAATACTGTTGAAAATAGTTTTTTATTTTACTTCTCATTATAAAATTTCAAACCTAATTTCAGTGTCATTTTTTTGTCTTTTCAGCTGTTCTCCTGCTGTGTGCTGTTAACGCACTCTGCTCTGATGATGTTGATAATCAGGAATGTGTGTCCAGCTGGGAGGTAAAAGAAAACGCTTTTCAAACTTAAAATATAGTGCTGATATCTCCAAAGTTATAGGAATGAAAACATTTTTTTTCTTCAGGGATAATAAAATGTATCTTGAAATATTGATTTATTTATTTTTTCAGCGCAATAAATTCATATTGTTGTTTTGGTTTTGCTGAGCTAATAACATTTAATACAACTTTTGCTATTATTGTCTGATTACAATTATGAGGAGTGTGTACCTATTTAGCTAAAATGTGTACTTTTGTTATCATAACCTGGTCTTTGAAAATTATCACTACACAAGCTAAACAGCTTAAAATCATAGTGACACCAAAGACTCTGATCTTCTGAAATATTCTAATTGTCAATGTTTTATTTATTTATTTTTGTTTTTTTAATTGTTCTAGGCAGGTCCTCATGTTGACTGGGACAATGGGACAATTGATTTTTCACATAAGGCAATGATAGCTTGTGTTGATTTTTTTCTTAATAAATCAGATCATTATTTTAAACAGGAAATTTGTCCTTATCCTGGTTGTCCTTGTTCATACTTTATCACAATATAAAGCAACACTATTGAAAGAATCACCACGGAGCACAAAAAGATTCTCTGTCAAGGAGGATTAAATGCTGAGTTTTGCCTTCCAGGCGGATTGCTTTCAGCCAGCTGACCACCTGAATGACCCTGATCCTGTCAGCCTGAAGTTGTCAGCCAGTAAGAAACTCCTCATCTCTCTAGAGGGCCTACCTAATGATCTTGTCTGCCAGTGGGGGAGAGAACAAGGCCCACTAATGAACATGTGAGTGTATTTTTGGTCAATGCGCTTGTTGATGGGTCTGCTTCTTTCCTTCATGTGTGTAAAGTTTGACATTTTCTTAAACCTCTCCAGAAATGGGAGTGTCTCCATGGTTACACCAAGACTTTCAAGGACTGATTCTGGGATGTACAA